TATCTCAATTGTTTTTTGTTCCTTTCCTGGAGTATTATTACTTATTTTACATATTCTGTGTACATGTGCACACGCGCATGCATAATGTTATATGGTCACTCACCTGTTTAAATACTAAAATTGGGATATTTACTATCCTCTGATAAATTTCCTAAAAAACTTTCACATCTTGAAATGTTCTCTTTTCCATATATGTTTATACAATTTTCTGTGTTGTGTATTTGTATCGCTAATAAAGGTGTTATTAACAAGTGTCCATAGAGCACAAGTTAGATTAACTAAAAGTTGAAATAACACTTTTCAAAATACATTGAAAATGGAAGAATTGGAGATTCTAATGAAACCATTTACTTCAAATAGCAATTATTTTTCCAAAGCACGTTCAATAATGTTTAGCAAATGTTCAAGGGACACTCTTTAACATTTTCTTTTTTTTTTAATTAGTTAGTGATTTAAATATTTTGCGGCAAGCGCATTTCTGCGATGTTGTGCCTTCAAGTTAGAGAAAGGCAACGGCAGTAGAACTTTCAACAAGGAGTTGTTCCACTTAAATCATGTCCTTTTCTTTCAAGTGATTGCTGGATATATTTGGTGCTACTAGTACAAGCATTCATAAAATTAGTCTGCATACTTGGAGAGATTGTCTTAAGACATCTTAAATACGGTCGGGGTCAGCTATGAGTCTATCGTCATTTCTTCATTGTTTTTCTTATTCGTCATTTTTCCATATTTAAATGAGCATTGCCTTTCACTCTCAGTGCTTTTTCTTGGCTTTTTTCTTTGGTTTTTGAGTTTTGGAGCGATAAAATTTTGAGTATATCAATTTGTTAAGGAGCGATAAAATTTTGCTAGGTATCTTACCAAAAAAAAAAAAAATTTTTTGCTAGGTACACCTTTCCCATAATCTGGCTCAAATTAGCTGAACATTTGCATACTTGCTCTTGAGTTCTTGAAGTCAATGTGTTTTTGTGCTACACTTAAGGACCTGTGTTTCTTGAAGTCAATGTGTCTCTCTCTCCTCTCTCTCCGTCTCTGCTTGTCTGTGTTGCCAACGGGATGAAGGGAACGACCGTGGCGGACGAGAGGTACAAGATGATCAGACCAGACAGATCGGAGTCGTTGTGAATGTCCAGGTTCACGCGGAAAGGGTTGAGGACCGATTTGGTCTTCTTCTAGATTTGTTCGAGGTGGATGCCGAGCTTGTTGAGGAGAGGCTCCTCTCCATCGAAGTTTGCGGAGGCTCGTGGGACTGCCCTAGATGGTGGAGGTCGTATCGATGGTGGAAGTGGTGGTGGAGTGGGTTCTTGAAATATTCACAAATAGTTTCTTGTGTTAGATTTGGTGGGACCATTGCCAACTGTTCTAAAAAGTTTAAGATGAATGCATGATTTAATATTTAATTACTCTAACATCTTGCTTGACTTCATCAACGACTAGATCATTTCTCACCATTGGCAATTGGGAATATTTTTGCCATTAATTGTCCTTCGCAATGTAATTTTACACTAGCCCATGTATGTTGCAATTCAATATCTAAGTAACGAATTTCCATGGTTAGCAATGCTAGGCATACACATACACTTGGATCAGGAGGTTTAGCTTAGCTTATGAATTCGTTAATGTTTTTGATTCGGCCTAGGTCTTGCTAAAAAAACCAGAAAAGTCCTCACTTTTTGGAGTTAATCAAAATGATTAGACAAATAAATGAGGATTCACATGAACAAATATAACCATTATTCCTGTTCAAGATTCCATCACTTCCAAACAAGGCTAGCATGACAGAGTCTCAATTAATCCTCGGGGGATCCTCCCTGCACTGGTATATTTTTAAGCAGCCTCTGTCGCGAGGAGGGTTCGACGGTGGTGGCAACACCGAGCTTCCGGTTGGCGGAGGTGGAGCATTTCCAGCAGCCAGGTCGCGGCGTGGGTTCGCGAGAGGAGGGGAATCGTAAGCTTTTGAACGTGCATGGGCACTTTTGCCGTCATCACTCATCGCCGTTGTCGATATTATTCTCGCTTGAGTGCCCCAGATCGCGAGGCAAACGGCAACCGCGAAGACGATGATGAAGCTTCCATTGCCTTTTGCCATTGTTGAGTTCGGAAGAGGGAACTGATGTATCTTTGGTGGGTACTGACATACGTATATAGACGTACTAGCATTCCTCCACGCACAGAATCGCGCGAATTTGGAAACTAAATTAACAAAATCTAAAACGATCTTATTTGATTTCTAAATCTTAAAAAATATTCGAATCATGTGAAATTTCAATATATCAAGAACGGTTGAGAATGGATAAACGGGAAGGGAGATGGAAGTAATGGAAAGCGGATTTGTCATTAGGAATATAGAATAGTATATGTATATATTTATCGACTACATCGTATCATTTGTATAATATCTTTGCACACGTAATCATATAAGTAGATTAACTGGACAAATTCGGGGTCATCAAGTTACCTTAATTAAAGATATAGATCGTGCGAGTTATTGTAGGAGAGAAAGGATGGAGATTTTTTCCAATATTCATACTGAATATCTCCTATCATAATCCTTTGAGAAATGCAAGGAACTAGCCAAATTCATCTTAAGAGCATTTCCTCATTGTGATTCAATGTTATGTGAACCGCCATTTTAATGCGTAGTATATATTGTACAATGAGATTAGCTTTTGGTTTGGGGAAATGATAAAAAAAAATCATAAATCTATTGCATTTGTGCCAATTTATAAGGGTGAATATGATTTTAGGATAGAACCTGAGAACCGGATTGGTGGGAACCGACAAAGGTTCCATAGTATGTACGGTAGGATCCAGGTTAAAAAAATTGAGGAATCTCTTTCGACGGGTAGGTTCTAGGTTTTAAGTAAGTGTAACCTGAAACCTAAAACCTGTAACAAGTTTTTGTGTTTTTCTTGGTCTATGTCTTTGTTTGATCCTGGTATTCCATGCCGTTCGATGATGAGTGTATAATTTAGAACTGCTAGTCTAAGCTTTCATTTTATGATAGGGGCTTTTACTTTATTATTGTTTCATATTTTTCGCATGTCTAAATATAAGTTGTGGTCGGTAGATTGTAAAAGCAAGTGGTGGTCATAAAAGGTGATATTTAACTATAATCGTTCAATTAATTATACATGTGAAATTTGGGTAGACTCTGAAATCGACCTTGAAACATCCGACAAGATAGGTTCCAAGGTATGCATGGTATATTCTATGTTCCAAATAATGAGGAACCTGTTCCCACGGGTAAGCCATAGGTTCCAAGTTGAACTTGTGTGGAACCTGAAACCGCTCACTCTTATCAATTCAGTTCTCGACCTTTTGCATTTACACAAATTGAGTCTATCCGGCTAATTTTGGCAGGAAATCATTGACGTGGATGTAGTCCATTCGACGTGAATGCCAGTCATCTTACGTGGCGCGGCCTGACGTTAACATTTTTTTATAATATTTTGAATTGCTTATAATTGTTTATGATTTTTTTCTTTTTTCTTTTCCTATCTTCACTTTTTTTAGGGGGTTGACTGCCAGCTCTCGTTGGCACTAGGCGAGGGCTATGGCGCCCTCATTTGGCCTAGATCTGGTGAGGGCATTGCAACCCTCGTCTGATGCCCTTGTTGGCCACAGCGAGGGCCTATAAGCTCAGGCCCCCCAAAAAAAAGTGAAGAAAGGAAAAAGAAAAAAAATCATAAAAAAATTCAAAATACTATTAAATATTATTAAAAAATGTCTACGTCAGCATTGGTTGACGCCCATGTTGACCGAATAGACTCAAATGATATAAATGCAAAAAGTTTATAACTAAATTGGTTTAATTAAAAGATTTATGATTAGACCGGCATCAATGTAATAGATTTGAGATTTTTTTGGTACTTTTCTTCTTTTGGTTCTGTGGAAGGGTTGATGCTCAAATGATCTTGACAGGGAGTTTGTTTCCAACTAATTTACGTGACTTTTTATAGTACTCCTGCAAGATGTTCTTTAATTTCTTCTTAGTTACATATGTCTCGCGATTAAGCACGTACTTCACCATACAACAGAATATACCATACATGGATATAAGCATCGCTATGTATCTATCTACTATTTTTTTTCTTTTTGAAATCATATAAGTCTGTCGGAGAAAATCGATATGCGAGTGAGCCAAAAGAGATGTTTAAATTATAAAAATCGCCCTCACTCTTAGCTTCACGTTTCGACTTCCATATGAGTTTAAACCCGATTTTCGAATCTGTCATTTTCCTTCCAAATTTGTCCCTTTCACCGTTCCAAACCCACCCACCCCAAAATACACTTAACCATATCCCTAATCCAACCCAAGCTCAGTCCCTCCTTCCCGGTGCCGCCACGACCGAGGCCGTCGCCACCAGCAATGTCTTAATTTGTGACTTTTATGTTCTTTGTAGCTCCCCTCTTTTCCTTATTTCTTCTCCTTTTCACTTATTGCTAATTTAGGAAAGTGTACGACCCCTCGATACGTATATTGCGACGAAGGAGTGGTTTATACATCACACAATTATGAATCCGTCCGGTACACCACACGAGACATCAGACACGAGCAAACCCTTTAATTCTTTCTGTGCTGCGAGGGACGACATGCCTCTTTTGATTTGAACTTTATTACTTCACCTTCATTCTCACAATAATAATTCGTTTCAGCACATATTGGGATTGTATGTATCGATCTGTGTATATAGATAAGTAGCATCGTCACTTATGAAGAAGAAGAAGGCTCTAGCAAGACTAGCATATATGTCAAGTAGCAGCGAGCTCAATTTAAGAGTTCAAAGTTATTCAACTCTTCAGAAGACCACACTCTCTTCTTCCCCAACAGCCAACAAGATGAACACAGTCCCTATCTATTACACACTCGCTTAAATGGCCATATGGTCGAATGAAATCTCTATATCAGCAATTCGAACGCAAGCTCTGACATTATCCCAAGTTTAACTCATTCAAGAGCTGGAAGATTAAGTTGTTGAAATAGTTCTGGTGAGAAAATGGGTTCCAAGCTTCTCATCTTGATGGGTCTTGTAGTGGCTGTTGTTCTCACTCGTCTCGTCGGAGGTGGTAGCCAGGGGCTGGGCTGAGACTGCTTCGACTGATGATAAAGAGATGGTGAGTTCAGTATTTCTTCTTTAAATCCACTGTATATATTGTATGATGAATATATCTTTATACATTGGGTAATGTTCAGTTCACTGAAAACTCTCCGTTGATGGAAAACGTTTGTAGGAAGTTCAATTTCATAGGAAGCGAATCATTTTCCGGGTAAGCTTGGTGTTTTCAGTCCATGGAAAACACTTTCTGTCGATTGAATAGTTTTCCATCATCCAAAACTGATCCATAGTCGCTACTACTTAGTCAATATTCATCCATTTCATTGCTTGTTGGCACATTGTTCTTTATCTCACAGCTAAGGACCCCAATGAGACGAGCACCTTCAATGATGCAAAATATTCGGGCAGCGGATACGGTGGATACCCCGGCGGTGGATACGGAGGATACTCGGGCGGGGGAAGCTATCTAGGCCGAGGCGGTCATGGCGGTTATCCAGGACGTGGTGGCTATGGAGGAGGAGGGTACTGCCTCTTCGGTTGCTGTGGCTGGGGATACCACGGACGATGCTGGTGCTGTTCCTATGCTGGTGAAGCAGTTGACAAGATGTCCGAAGCCAAGCCTCAGAACTAATTACAAGCTTGCAATTGCATTGATTATGGAATTAGCAATAAAAGAAAATCCACGCGAGCTATTTCGTGCTAGCCAAGCGTTTTAAATTTGAAAATTATTGAATAACATGTGATGATAATCTTTATGGTTTTTCTTTTTCTTTTCTTTTTTTTCGATTTTGTCTATAAGTGAATTAATTTTTTAACCCGAGAAAAAGGGGGAAAAAAAGCAGACCAATTAGGAATTAAGGAGAAGCAAAAGGGTTGGATGTCGGGGAGGAGGACAAGACAAATTAGGACAAAGCAATTAAGCGACAAACCCCAAGACATAATTAAGGAGGTTTGGTGGTGCTAATGACGTCTTAAGCATTACCCTCGAAGGAGTTGTCCGTGTTGCCTCCTTGCGTTCCGGTCCAGCTGTGGAATCACCTAACCCTCTCTAAAAAGGGCCACTGTTTGACTATGGTCCAATTCTCAAGTCAACGCTTCTTATGCAAGCATGATCGCCCCATGACGGACAAAAATCAGAAAAAGCCCAACACTCGTTTCGGTGATTGATTGGAAATTGCCCCCCACCTAATTAATCTGACAACTTTTTGAGTCTCACGTTTCATTAGGTTCAATCTGATTTTGTTTAGGAGATTGAGTTTTAACTATCCGCATAAGTTGAGAAAAGATCAGGTGCATAACATAATATAAGCCGGTCTCTATCATGGATATTCCGGCAAGTTCGTACGTTTGGTGTGGAGAGACGTTATACCTTTGCCAAAATCTTGTTTAATTTTCGTTCACTCTCTATCTTTAAGAAAATGTCATCATAAACAAGAATACTTTCTTTCTTATTCCTTTTTAATCTGTCAATTCCATCATAGTACTAGTGTATTGAGAAAGTAATTTTCACATATTAGGTTATGTTTTACGTGGAAACATAAGAAGGGTTTTCACGGTCTCTCCTTATTTTCTAAACACAATTTTCTTTCGATAAAAATGTTTATTGTGCTTAGCAGCCATTGATTCAAACTCGAATATTCAATTTTTCCAACATTACAGCATCATTATCACTAGAGAGTCTATTTATTAATAGACGATAGATTATTACTATGAAGAGACTCTTATTCTTGCAATTTCAACGTTAATCAATTGCTATTTTATTTCCAATAAGCATGACCCGAAAGGCACAGATGAATTTGTAATTTATGTCTGATTATGATATAATTCGTTCCCTCTTATCGAGGCATCTAGAATTGTTGGGAAAAGGTTAAATTAGTGGGAAGAAAAAAGGGGGTCATTAGGGACACTAAAGGGCCCAAAAATCATGGACTCTTAGACACAGAACAACCCCAACGTGTGAAACAAGCAGGGCCATTTCTCTTCTTGGCCCACACTTAGACAAAAACATAATTAAATAATCTCCCCTTTGATTTTAGACCAAGAAAACAAAAATTAAATTACTTAAGACACCCTCTTGAAAACAACATTAACGGGAAACCCTCATCATCTTCTTGGGAACAATCTCTCTCTCTCTCTCTCTCTCTCTCTCTCTCTCTCTCTATATATACATATTTTGTCTTTCGCTGCGATTCTCACTCTCTCTTGTGGCTATCTTTTTGCGTGTTTGGGCTCGAACAAGAAGAAGAAGAAGCAGCAGCAGCAGCGCCGAAGCTATGAAGAAGAGAAAGAAGATGTATTGCCTCATCATCAACGCATGCTCACTTTGTACAGTATCATCATCATATGGAGTTTGATTCAGCTTGTTGTTGCTGCTGGTTGAAACAAGTTCAACGTGAGATCAATTATTTGCAGGGAAGGGACTTTGATTTTTCCGTGGAGAATCCAATGTATTCACAACGGCGTACATGGAAAGGCCAGGCATTTTTCTTTTCTTGTTCTCTCTTTTCTCTCTGCCAAATTCTCTTGAGCAATCTTGTTTCCTTTTTATTTGTGTTCTTCTTTTTTGCCTTTTTTGTTCCTTCCTTTATTTGTTTCTGCTTGACTATTGAACTGAGGCGATTGGGATGGTGTAAACATTTGTATACACTAAAGCTACAGTTGAATAAGCTTTTAGTCAGATCTTCTAGTCACTTTGCTGGCAAACTGGCAATGAAATAACGTCTCAATGCTCTCTCTCTCTCTCTCTCTCTCTCTCTCTCTCTCCTTATGATGATGGAAAGGGGAAACCTAATTTTGTTTTGTCATTTATAAGCACAGCATGTTCATTTTTTTTAAAATTTTTTTACTACTAATCATGTAAATGAGTTAGTAACAAGAGTCTTCCTAACGAGTGTCGGAGAGCAGCCGATTAATTACTTTTCTTGTAACCTGGGTGGTGCTTATATTTTCGAAAGAAAATGTAGCAAAATTAATTAGTCGGCATGCTTCATTCTCGTACCAAAAAAGAGAAATATAGATAATTCCGAGAGATTTGTGCATTTATAGGTTTCTATACCATATTAAACAAAGTGCGAAAATCATGCCAACATATCAATAGCTGTCTTCAATTTTCATTTTAGTTACTTATCTTTTGGGATTGTTCTAAACTTCTAAGTTAGCCAGGTCTTATATAGTATATACATGTCCTACACTGTTGGTAGGTATAGAAGCAGATAGGCTGGTGAGAAAAACATATACGGAGCACTACACAAGCAGGGGCCACTTTCATGTTCTAACATATTTGTTGTAATTAACCACCATCATAATCAATTAACAAAACCATCTCCACCTATATGGAAATGAAATAACTTATATATAAATTTGGACAACACGAATAATAATGCAACGCCTCTGTTTTTCTGCTCTTTTATGTTTTGTTCTTGTCCTAGTTGGTAAGTGGCATGACACGTGAATGCATGAGAACAGTGGGGAATCATAGGATCAAAGCCAATAATCAAAAGAAGCCATTGATGAAATGGGTAAGCAACTTGTATTTTTGCAATATAAATATGTCACTGTTCGTACCACAAGCCACATTTTATCAGTATTTTAGAAAGGAGGAAAAGGAAAAACGAGAGCCTTGTCATCTCGTGGTGGAGAGAAGGGGCGAGATGCATCCAACCCCAAACCAGAATTAACTCGAAATTTAGTCAGGTGCTGCTTTTGTGAAAACCCCACTTTTATTATTATTATTATTTCTTCTTTTGCATGGACCCATGCACTATATGGCTCCAAAGTAAGCAATAGCTGTATCAAGATGAATAGTGTTTAGTGCCAACTAAAAGTCTGTAAATGTTCAAAAAAAAAAAGATTAGGAAAACCTCACAGAAAGCAGAAAAGAGAACAAACTAGACCTAACCCTGGCCACGTCGTGCTTTCAAAGTCAAAATGCTTGACTTCATGAAGCAAGGGCAACACAATTCTTGAGTTCATGGCAATGTTTAACCTTAATTTCTTCGCCCTTTTACGAGGTTTAGGGGGTGACTTTCCATCAACTAATAACTATAAACTATATTGCGTGATTGAATTTGTGGCTATTATTAATTTATGGAATTAAGATAGAATAGAGTGAATGGAGAGAGACAGAGAGAGAAAGAAAGAGATAAGGATGGTGGGGTTTTGGGGAAATGTTGTTCTTTGTAGACCGTGTCAGGGAGTGAAAGCGATTTGGTTTCAAAATTATACGGCTGGCATTGCGCTCGAGAGTAAGTTGTGCTTTGACTTTCGTTTTTTCCAATTTCCTTGTCTTTTAACCATCAGTGTAGAATGGTGATATTTTGTTCCCTCCTCCTCCGCTGATCAAGGTTTTTATACATAGATATTAAAATTTTTAAATTTCAGCATCTCCGCTTCAAATTCCTATTCTTAATTATTATATAAAGTAAAGAGTACATCATACTTTAAGAGATCTCGATCGTTTTTGTTTTATTTTCCTAAATATTATTACTTATATATATTTACTTATGTTGTGTACATACACAAATGCGAATACATGGTGATATATTATTGCTCACATGTTTCAATATTAAAATTTAGATATTTAAAAGTAAATGATGGGAAATGAAGCTTAGATAGAGTCATTAGGCGCAGGAATTTATAAAGCTCATGGTCACTTGTTAGCCAGGTGGATATTTCCCACCTGGAACTAGAAATCGCTCATTAAAGACCGGTTTTTAAAAAATGGGAACCGGAGATTACTCGTTGGTTCCATGAATTCACTTGAGAATCGGATTGCCGGTCTGGTTCGAGTCTTGAGTGAGTTTATAGAATTAGTTCCATCAAGCTTCACATGATGCCCAGTCACGACATTCCTGTCTGACCGAGTCACCTGCAGTAAACCCAACGACTTCTAGTGGTCCACTGTGACAGTTCTTGTAGCGGTAGACCTCCATCAGCATTATTAGATTTGTTGGTATCATTAACTAACACTTTGCAGGTTTCCAGCGTTATTGTGATTATGGTGGCATTAGATCAGTTCTTCTCGACGTTCCTATCTCGACGATGCAAATCTGACACGTTCGTTGCCTTCCCCCTTTGAAAATGAATTGGAACCGGGAGTGAGGATGAGAAGATCGCGCAAGCTGTACCATTACATCTTGCTTTTTGTCCAACAAAATCCCCCATCCATTGCCACATCAATTGCGATTTTGTCCTTGCAAGTTGGAAAGAAAAATTCATTCTTTCCTTTTTTGGTGTTGACCAATTAACGCTTGCCACCAATCTTTCCCGTCAAAGTTGTTCACAAATCCATTCATTGAAATTCTCTCCATTGAAATATCTCATTAGCCTATTCACGATTCTTTTCTCAAAATTCTCTCCATTCAAATATCTTTTGATCATATTTGTTGCGCTTTTTCCAACTTTTGTAGATAATTGAATGCAATCAAATCTCCAGCCATCCATTGCTTGTCCAAGTTCGTCCATCGCTCAAATTCTATTAATCCTCGGTCAATCATTATCTTATGCCTATCTCAATTCAAAGATTTGACATTATCACCACCGAATTTGATGCAAAATAGTATGGCCTTAGTGAAATATTACCGGTTCGGTTCGGGTGGGTGGGTGGGCGGGTGGGCAAGTGGTTCCACACTT